CTTCAGCCGCAACCAAACATAAGTGAGTTAGTTTCTCAGTAAGCGAAAGTGGAAAAGGGATCGAGAAAAGTAAGATTCTTGTAGCGCCGGATTGACACAGAGAAATATGTAGTAGTAGTGTAGCCACTGTTCTTCCTTTCTGGGTAAGCGATGTGGCAATTTCTATGTCACGTGTCTCGATTTCCCCGACCACCAGAATGGAAATGACCAGGAATTTTTTTCTTAACATAAGTTGTGAATAACCGATTATTGAGGAAAAAAGCTTGATCTGTTACAAGCAGATGTATCTTGCCGCGCAACATGACGATCGGGCGGTGTGTTATGCAAAGAGCTTTGCGTTGTGTTACTTCGGCTTCGGATTGTTAGGTATGGGTAAACTCTTTAATGGCTGAAGCCGGTCTGATGGTCCCATGTCACACCTCGAGTCCAAACGGCCATGTAGTCTTTGCTCGAACTGTGTTTTTAAATTTTAAATAAATAAAATGTCTTTTTACTTTCTTTTTTATTTATTGAATATACAAATGTACAGTCAACATTCAGGAAGGGGGCCGCAGCCATACAAAGGCTGCCTGGGAAGCCGGGCGGCGGTGCAGCGGTTCGAACTCGGGACTCCCAGATCATAAGTTGGTGATCTAATCACCTGGCCACCACCGCCCTTTTGCATTATAATTTTCTTTCAGCCACTTGAATTTCCTCAAGCTCTTATCATGTTCTGCCTCGGTTACTCCACATATGGTTGTGTTGTATATATGGGCACATATAACGTTCAGGTTTTTGTCTTTTAATATTTTATCAATCATTCTCTGAAACGATGTTACTCCGCTGGTCACCGCATGGAGTATCCAGCAGAAGTAATGGAAGTGGCCGCAAACCTTTTTCCTGTCGCGTTCACCGGTCAGCACTTTATTCTAGACTCTCTTTAGGTCCTGATCCGTTTATCCTGAATAGTGACTAATTTTGCCGCTACGATTGTTATTCCTTGATGGTGGACATCCATCTGGGTGGTTCACTTCACGTCATTTTTTGGTTACTCGAGAGGATAAGCTGTCTCCATGATAATCATGGAGTTTCGTGGGAGGTTGTCGTCACTGACCGATTTCCAGTGATTTGAAAAAGATACTGGTTATCTCCGGTTTCCTGTCGAAATGTAGTCAATACACGTCGCGTGGGAATCTTTTTTTCCCTTTGTCAGACAGATTTGTGAAAGTTGTAATTGCGAATTGGTGGATAGTATCTTCTCTAGTGTAGTCGCTTGTATTCTCGGTTCGTTTGCTGAAGTGATTCAATACACTCAGAAAGAAGGTTTCTCCGGGAAGCGTTTGCGTCAGTCAGAACAGCGTCAGAACGTTCATGTCAAATAATACAGTCCATCATTGTCAGTTAAATAAATTGTCGTCTCAACAACAGTCGGGAAGAAAACAAAAGTGGTGTAGATACTGAAGTGTGAGGGGAAGCAAGGTGTAGTCAAATCTGCAAAACAATATCACAACTCAAATCCTCTTCAAATGCGTTAATCTTCAGTTGCCGGATTCCAGCGGGTTATCTAGAGCACTCTGCTGCAGGCCACGGTAAAGCCAGTTTATTAAGTGAATAACTTACAAGCTCATACTTTTCCCGTCCCGTTGGTTCGTGTTGTGATCGAAAGACAGCGTTGCATACAATTCATTGTGTAAAAATGTCACATGATACAGGCTCTTCTACTGCTGCACACAGCTTCACTTATGTAAGGCGTGCGAATGCTTCGTCAAATCTCAGTTTGAAGGATTCAACGCTTGGCGCACAGACGACGTGGGGTGAGAGAGAGAGTTCCAGACCGAACAAACTCTGACTGCGAATAACTGACACCGACATTCCAATCGTTCTTTTGAGACCGCTAGTTTTTAAACGGAGATCCACTGTGATGTCCGTTGAGTGGATGGATAAGTTTCATCAATGAATACAATTTGTGACGCTTCGTTACGGCAAACGTGAAACCCTGTCAAATCTTTGCGTATACTGCACCGTTTAAATGCAACCAATTAAGTGCAATTCCACTATGTATATGGTTATTTCTAGCTCTTCACTGTTTCACAAATGAAATTTTTAGTGTATAAATCCCCAATTTCTAATCACGGTCTGTGCTTGTGTTGACCAGTTTAATGTAAGTCCACTTTGTCTGTAGTGTTGTTCAAAACCAGTGAGTGAATATCTCCGCGAAAGATTTACGCGCACGTAGGACACTCCGTTCATAACCAAATAAGAAAGAAATACGGAGAATGCGTACCGTCAAAACAAGAACCTAATTCACAATTTTTTTTCCGGGGATCTTTGATCATGTACATTCGATTTTTGTCGTTTTATTTGCGGTGTTGGCCTGTTTCCTGTTTAATGCCAGTCGTGATATATACATGTTTGAAAATGAATTCAGTACACCGTTCTGTTTGTTTCCCATAGAATGAATTCTACTGGATCGATAATGATCACTTCGAGGCGTGCCCGGTTGAAGTTCGTGTGCGAATCAATGCTATCGATTTCTATCGCGAATCGTGCCCACAGCCGGATAATTGCGATCCATCATTCCTTGAGTCCGCGTAAACTGTTTCATCAGTCAAACGACTTTGTTCTCCCCCGTACTTGTAGATACTCTTCAAATCGTATGTACAGATATTTTCCGATCAACTTTTGGTCAATTTGAGATTGGGAAGGTAGTGGTTCTCAGTTGTGACTCATGATGATCAAACAGAGAATTCCCTGTACTGATATGCAGGTCACTTAGATTCCGAATCTCTAGTCATCTTCTACTTTGATAAACTCGGTTTCATTCTCGGTNTCTCGGTAATTCTGTGATAGATGTCATTTCGATGAGCGCTTCAGGTGTCAATTTTGGTTCACCTCTGACCCAACGAGCTACCATGAGATTTAATCATGCTTGGAAGGTCGGAGGGTAGTGGTCGGACAAAATTCAAACTCCTGGTGCTCTCGGAGGGGGGTTCGACTCGAGTTGGCGTTTCAATCGGTGAAAAATGATAGAGGTATTATGCATCCAAGTATATGGGCCACCAACTCGCTTCACTTGCTGCCTCGCCTTGTTAGTATGTTGTCAAAACTAAAGGCTTTTGTTGTTAACCCTAATCATTCTTCTGGTTAGTGGCTGAATACCCAGCCTAGCAACACCCATCCATCAAACTCCAGTGCGTTGCAAAGCTATAAAGAAATTGTAATTGTAATTGAAATTGTAAATTGTTTGCAAATAAATGGTACCACAAAACCAGAATGTTTTGGCTATAGGATAATAATATTTTATGGTAAACGTTTGTGTAATATTAATCGGATTTCAGTTAGAGCACGACTACTTATTCAGACGTCCATGGCAGGGGTTTTATGTGCGAAAAGGTTCACGGTTTGTTCGCTTGCTCCTCGATCAAGCGCTATTGTTCGTGCCAATGTGTAATGGATACCCACCCTGCTTGGCGCATCGTTTGTGTGTGTGTGTGTGCGCGCGCGCGCGCGTGCGCGCGTGTGTGTGAAAACAACGCCATTCGATTCGGTAGCCGGGTTTGGGTCTATTTGGTCTCGCGCCTGATTCGGCAGACACCAGTCTATCCGATACGGCGATAAACGACTGATTGGCGGTGCAATTCACCGAAGCGGTAATGCATTCCTGTAGTACAATTTTGACCTCTGGATCATTATACGGAACTGCTCGCTGCAATCTGATATATCATGATCAATTCGATTGATAACTGGGAAGTCGGCCCGTCGAATCTGCAAGCGACCAGAGTGTGCTTTGAATTGGATTTTTTGGATCGCGGACTGCATTGAGTCAAGCCCAGAAGTGACTCCGCATGATTTTCATTGAACGGAAATGATCATTGAACGTTGA